CTATGAGCATCTTCAAAAGAACTGCTTTTAAGAACATGCAGAAGGTATAGTCCAAGCAAAGAAAGTTTTCTGAGCTCTGCTTCGAACACCTTTGCAATCCCTGCTTTTCAGATATAATGGGAGGCAAAGAAATTTTTTATGGGCTATTCTTTGAACACTTTTGCAAGCATTGCTTTTAAGACATGTGGAGTTGTAGTTGCCCAAGGTCACCCAGTGGGTTTCGGACTCTGGTCTCCAGGGTCCTGATCCAATTCTCAAACCACTACTCCACACTGGCTGTAAGCCTGTTGTTGTTGTTGTTGTTGTTGTTGTTGTTAACTGTTAACTGTTAACTTTTGTTGTTAACTGATCTCAACTCATGGCAACCCTGTGGACGAGACACTTCCAAAAACCCCTATCCTCCATTGCTCTGCTCAGGTTCTGTAAATTCAGACCGGTGACCTCCTTAATAGAGTCCATCTAGCGTGCGGTCTTCCTTTCTTCCTTCCTTCCTTCCTTCCTTCCTTCCTTCCTTCCTTCCTACTTTTCTCCACCTTTCCTAGCATCATTGTCTTTTCCAATGAGTCCTGCCTTCTCATGATGGGGCCAAAGTACAACAACCTCAACTTTTATCATCTTGGCTTCCTGGGAGATTTCCAGCTTGATTTGTTCCAGGACCTGTCTATATCCATCTTTTGTCCATCTTATCTCCAGCACCACATTATCTCAAATGAATTGATTTTCTTCTTATCCACTTTTTTTAACTGTCCAGTCCTTGCATCCATACAAGCTAATAGAGAATACAGTGGCTTCTATGATTCTAACCTTTGTGCTTAGTTGTGCATCTTTCCGCTTTAGGATCTTTTCTAGTCCTTCCATGGCTGCCCTCCCCATTCTTAGTCTTCTTCTGATCTATGTTTGATCCAAGGTACAGGAGCTCTTTATTAAGCCTTAGGAGAGATTTCAATCTGTTAAAGTTGGCAGGGAGATCCTTGTATAAAAGCTGTGGGAAATCTTCAAGGACCACGTGGAAGGGGAACCCCAAGAGGGTCAAATTTGGTTTATCAAGATGCTATTTCTCACCCCTATAGTAAGGAGAGGTACTTTCACAGACAGCCATATTCTTCACCTGCTCCGGTTCTTTGGAGAGCTTTGGAGCATGTCAGGAGGTCAGGAAGACTAATATTGTTCCTCTGTGGCTCTAGACCTCCTTCCTCTTCCCCATAACTCAAATCTTTGGGAGGGTCAGGTTGTGCAAGGCCATTTTATCAGCCCTGCCAAGATCAAACCTTCATTGCATGCTGATGTCCGTTCCCACATTGCTTCTTCTTCCTCTCATGTGGTCTGTCTGTTCCCCTTCATTTGGTGTCTCTCTTCAGAAGTTTTAGCAGAGGATGGAAGGAAAAAAGAAATAGAAAGAAATTATGGCAAGATTACTTCCAACTCCCTGCTGTTTTGATCAAATTTATCGCAAAATGGGGAAACTTTATGCTAATTTGGTACATCTTGTGCGGCGCTAGCATGGGTTGGGAATTTATTTTTTTAATCATAGCCTTCCGTAAGCAGTTTTCCATTCTGTGCAGTATATGGAGCAATTGTTTAAGAGAACATCTATACCTAGAGCTTAATTACCAGCTAGCAACTTCTTGTTGCTTTGGCATCGAGTAGCGGCTTCACTTTCTCATACAGGATTTATCTACTAATTCATCTGCAATCTTCGTAATGAGATCAGTATAAGGAACGGCACAAGGCCTATTTTTTAGGGAAAGTATTTCTGGCAATATTCTCTCCTGAGGCAGGTAATTTCTGGGAGACTATGGGTACGTCTGCACTGTCGAAATAACCCAGTTTGACACCACTTTAACTGCTATAAAATCCTAAAGTTTGTAATTTGGTGAGGCACCAGCACGCTTTGCCAGAGCGGGCTAAAGACCTGGCAAAACTACAGATCCCTGGATTCTGTAGGATGGAGTTGCAGCACTTAAAGTGGTGTCAAACTGCATTGTTTCTACAGTGTAGGTGCACCCTATGTGGCCCTCAAGGCTGTTTCTGTGGCCTGTGACTTGTAGATCAAACCTTAAATTGCCCTTTGTTATCTCCAGAAAGCAAGAAGGTGAATTCCTTTGTTGCAAAAGCTCCACTAGCTTTCACTTTAGTTTCTTGGCAGAATCCAAAGTGCTGGTGATGACCTTTAATGACTTATAGTACGGTTTGGGTCCAGGTTATTGGAAGGACCTTATTCTCCCATAGGAACCTGCTTCTGTTTTGAATATTTTTGAGGAGGATTTTCTCTCTGTCCGTCCATCTTCATAGGTATATATTTGATGGGAATATGGGAGACAGGGGCTTCTCAGTGGCTTCTCTCAGGCTCTGGAAACTCCAGAGAGGCTAGACTGGTCCTTTCCATGATTTCTGCTAACAGATAAAACCCTTTTTATTATGGCAGGCCTTTGAAAATTGGGTTGTTGGGTTTTTTTTAAAGGAAACAAGCCTTGTATAACATGCAGCCCTTTTATATGCCATTGTCTTTACTGTTTCAATTTCTTTCAACTGGTTGCAAATGTTGTGATGGTTTGGTAGTTGTTGTTTTAATTTTTGCATGTTTATAATTTTATAATATTTTAAATAATATATTTTATTTAATAATAATATTTTAGAAGGGGAGGGGGGATTTGAGATTTGTTTTTCTTTTAATATTATAAAATTATGTTTATTCTGACTGTTATGAGCCCCCTTGAGCCTCAAACTTGGGGAAAAGGTTGGAAAGATCACGATGATGATAATTCATCTGTTAAATACGTTTCTGCCCCCTAGTACTGTTTCACGATAAAAAATACCAGTTTGTCCAAATCAAAGAGGTTTCCTGACCATTTCTGTCTGGTGGGGACATTTGGGACAGTGTTTTCTCAGCCTCCAGAAAATCTAGGGTCTGCAAATCTACTTGCCTCTTCTGTTCTCCTGCCACAAGTAATCCATGTGAAGCATTCTGCATTTCAAGGAAAGATGCTAAATTGTAATTCAGTCGGCCCTTGGTATCCACCGGGGTTTGGTTCCAGGACCCCCCATGGTTACCAAAATCCAAGGATGCTCAAGTCCCATTATATACAATGTTGTACTAAAATGGTGCCACTTATATAAAATGACAAAATCAAGGTGTGCTTTGGGGAATTTATATATTTTTGGAATATTTTCAAACCATGCATCTGTGGATAAACAATCCATGGATATGGAGAGCTGACTGTTGGCTATTCACCAAATATATCTTTATATATTTTTGGAATATTTTCTAACCATGAATGCTTGCGTTCATGGATAAAGAATCCATGGCTCTGGAGAGCTAACTGTAGGATATTTACCAAATATATCTTTATATCTTTTTGGAATATGTTCAAGGCCTAGATGGTTAAATCTATGGATAAAAAAATCTGAGGATATGGAGGGCTAACTGTAGGATATTCACCAAATACATCTTTCTGGAATATTTTCAAGCCATGGTTGAATCTTTGGAGAAAAAAATTGGAGGATATGGAGGGCTGACTGTACTTGTCCCCTGCAGTTGTGAAGTTCGATCCTGCTGAACTTCCGTCTTTTCCCTTAAACTTTTTTGAATTTTAATTTTTGCAAGATTTGCTGAGAGAGAGAGAGAGAGAGAGAGAAAGCAAGGGTGAACATAGGACGATGCATCTCTTTCTCTTATCCTTCCACTATCACCCCCAACAAGTACACCCACTTCTGGCTCTTTCTCTATTCCAAGCTCCCCTTTCTCTTACCCCTATCAGATGAAGGGCTCAGCAATGCATTAAAGAGTCGCCTCCTCCTTTTGCAAAGCAATCTCTTCCAATCCATCTGATGTGTCTCAGGGCTGGTGGAGGGGGGGATGGACGGATGGACGGACAGCAATAGCTCTATTACAATCTCATTGTATATATTATATTACATATATATATCTATCAGAGCTTTTAATGGGGGGGGTGGAGGGCCCATCAGAAACACAAAGTCACTTCATTGCTATTGCCCTCGTCTTTTCTCTTCTCATTATTTCTCCTCTTCCCTTCCCTTCTTCTTCTTCTTTTTTGCTTGATAGAGGCAAGTATTCTTTTCTCTCTCATACACACACACACACACACACACACTTGCACACTATTAGTATTAGTAATCGCGTCCCCTGAAGTGAAACAATCTTTTGTAATCTATCAGCGGTTTATCAGGCCTAATCTGAGAGCTGAGAATGGCCGGCCTCTGAGATGGCGCCATACTCGAGAACTGATAAAGTTACAGAGTTCAGTCCGTGATGAATGTTAAGTAACTGCACCCGCCTCCGATAGGATATGGACTTGGCAGAGAGAGAGGCTCTGTCTGAAACCAATCTCCCAGATAGCAGCGGCGGGCTGTTTTTTCTCAGGCTGTGGCTTCTCCTTCTGTCTCCCCACCCTTCCCAACCCTCCATCTTTCCTTTCCCAAGAGAAACGGGGCAAAAGAGACAGGCAAGAGTCCATCCTAGCCACCCCTTACCTCTTTGCTCCGGTCCTCTGTTGACCTTTCGGGCGGCCATTTTGTTGGCCACAGGTGCCTTCCCTTTCGAGATTTTCGGAGAGGTTTTTCTCCATCTCCTGTTGAAACGTTGAGCCAAAAACAAATGCTGATCATCGACGCTCTTCTCCGATCCACTTTGGGGAAACTCTTTAGCCGTTGCCACATCTTCACCAAATATATCTTTATATCTTCTTGGAATATGTTCAAGCCGTGCATGGTTGAATCCGTGGATAAAGAATCTATAGATATGGAGGGCTAACTGTAGGATGTTCACCAAAGATTTCTTTCTGGGATATTTTCAAGTCATAGATGGTTGAATCCGTCAATAAAAAATGTGCTGTGCTATCAGGTCATTTCCAACTTAAGGCAATCCTAAAGTGAACCAGTTGCAGGGTTTTCTTGGCAAGATTTGTTCAGAGGGAGTTTGCCGTTGCCTTCCCTTAAGGTTGAGAGCATGTGACTTACCCAAGGTTATCCTGTGGGTTTCATGACTGAGCAAGGAATCGAACCCTGGTCTCCAGAGTCATTGTCTAACATTCAAAACCACTGTACTACGCTAGCTCCCATTGCCACATACACCGTACCATTTCACAAATGAAAACTGGGACACATGTGGCCAAGCAACATCAGTGTGTGGTCATGATGGCAAAATTTATTAATGAGGAAGATTGCACAAGCTAGGAGAGTCTGCAGCAATTTGCTTTTGCCCAAGTCTACAGGGAAGAGCAAGACTTCTCCTTCCTCTCCTTTTCCCTCTGCTGAGTTAATGGGGTTCAAACTATTTTTGCACTTTGAACGCAGTTTGCAACTGAAGTAAGCTAAGAATAAAGGGAGAATGAAAAAGGAGGAGGAGGGAGAAAGTGTGACAGTTAAAAAGCAATTGAAAAAGTGGGACAACAGAAAAAAATCGGGACAGTTGGAAGATATGTTGCTACTGCCCAATTGAACAAGCTCGGTGCTGTGGATGTGGGCTAGAAAGCTTTAAAAACTTTTATTTGCGTGCAAATGCTTCAGTAAATACGTCTCATCAGTTATTAATTACGGTATATGTGGTTGTATGAGTTGTGGCCTTTTTTCCAAAATGCAGGGAAGACTTGTATCTACCTTAAATCATGTTTTTTAGGCAGCCACCCTTTATGCCCATCCAGGAAATCTGATTTAATGTTTAATGTTCGCTTTCCAGACTCCGCTTCATTTTATCTCTGCTTCTAACTATGTAGATAGTGTTGAGCCGAAGGTAGTCTTGTTCTCCATAAATTGTCCTCATCTCCTTTTCATGGAATCATTGAATTGTAAAAATTGAAAGGGCTCCAAGGAAAGCACATCTAAAGCAACCTTGAGAGGTGGCCATCTAACCTTTGTTTGGAAACCTGCAATGAAAGTGAATCCTTCACCTGTGATAATCTATCCCACGGTTGAACAGATCTTAATTCTTGAGGTTATTCAAAATCTCCTTTCTTGAAATTTGAATCCATTGCATTGGATCCTACTTTCTGGTGCAGCTGAAAACAAGCTTACTCCGTTTTCCACCTGACAGCCCTTTCATAGAATCATAGAGTTAGCTGGAAGAGACCTCAAGGGCCATCCAGTCCAAGGAAAAGCAATGGGAAAAGAAGTGTAGAGGATGAGACCAGTCTGGCTGATAATGTTTGAGAGAGGAAAAAAATGGAAATAATTACAGGCCAAAGATTAAATTAGGGTAGCCAGATTGAAAACTCGGGGCCATTTCTGTTGTTTTAATGGCTATATTTACCAGTTCCTTCCTTGAAATATCTCCTGCAGCACCTGGTATTCATTGATGGTGTCCCAATATATATATCAGAAGGGCATATGTGTGTGTGTGTATCTGCATCTCTCCCAGAAGGATGAAGTGGCTTACTAAAAAGATATGTATTTATTAGAATGATTAACAAACAGAAACTAATAAATAAACTAGCAAAACATTTTGGTTTTTTTCCGTATTCCAATGCTAAAAAACAAAAGTGAGCTGCACCCAGGGTCGCATGAATAGAAAGCAGAAGCCGAAACGTTTTGCCCATTTATTTTCTTTCTGTTTGTTAATCATCCTGCATCTTTCTATATATATATATATATATATATATATATATATATATATATATCGAGAAAGAGATGTTCTTCTGGTTTGCCTCTGGGCTGGGCGTTGCCATCCTGTTATCAGTTGCTCACACTAGACTGATGTGAAAATTATCTTTGGACAAGATGTAAAGTGTTTTTGGGGAGGGCTGGAGAAAGCGAAGGCTAGACGCCAAACCACACCAAGTTTCTTAGACTTGTTGCTAGGCCAGGTAGGGAATCATGTGAGCCTCCTCTTGGTGGTGGACTTCATCTTCCCAAATTGCTCACTGTTGGCTATCTTGGTTCATTGCAACTCAACCACATCTGGAGGGCAATGCAATTCCCATCCTTGTGCTAGATTTGTTATGATATGATATTTGGGGGGGAAGGGAGTGGGGCTGCACTTGCCCTTCTGGTTGGGGGATTCTGGGAGTTGTCATCCAAACAAGTAAGTTTCCCAAACTCTGTTCTGAACAGTGTAGAAGCATCCTTATAGGCAGGAACTTGAATCTAGTGCAGTTAGGACCTAAAGACTTTGGCAAAAAAGCTATGTTTTGGTTTGGTGCCAAAATGACCCCAACTTTGGCATGAAATAGGCCTTTAAGAGGAGAGCATTTTGCAAGCAGGGTGTCCCAACGGACAGGGCCCTGGTGGGAGTTAGAGGACTGTTCTCCCAGTAGACCTCTGTCCTTAAGCAAAGATAATCTAGGAGAACCACTCCTGTAAGAATGGGAAATCTCAAGATGCTTAGGGCTTTGAACGTCATCACCAACACCTTGCATAAAATTAAAAGAAAACCACATAGAATGTAATATAAAAGAGGGAAGAAATATATCTTATTGTGTCATCGTCGTCATCCCCTCTACACACATTATAGCTTTGCAGTCTCCAAAGGGAAGGGAAAGCCACCATGGGTAGGAGATTTCTGATTGCTATCGATTTAGACATCCTTGTGGGCCTTCTATCTCACTTTTCTCTCTCACTGAGGGTTCTTCTTTTCCTTTTATCTGCCCAACATCCTCTTTGGTGGTATCCAGCGCTATCTGTTCACTTACCCATCCTCCCTAATGCAGATAGGAGCTTGTCACTCAGTCCTTTTCTTAAAAAATTGCTTGGGTTTATGACCTCTGCCATGGCGAGAGACCCTTTTCCAACAAATGGGCAGATGGCGAGACAGCACTGAGGTTGTAGACTTGGAGAATTGGCAGGAACATCAATGCCCATCTATTTCTCATCCGTTTGTCTTCTTCTGCAGTCAGTATAAAGTGGTACCTTGCCTCTGATCCTGTTCTTAGCACAATAGCTATTGGTCTCCTTGTTTGCTGGCATTATTATCCATCAAGTCGACTTCAATCGATGGCGACCCTAAGAATGAGAGACCTCCAAGAGCCCTGGTCAGTAACAGGATGCTGGTCAAGTTTTGCAAACTCAGGGCTGAGGATTATTTGATGGAAACAATCCACTTGTCCTGAGATCTTCCTCTTCTCCTATCACCTTCTACTTTTTCATTTTGATATTGTTCCTGATTTTTTAAAATTGGGTCAGAAATCCTTAATAACTGCTGCAGATCATTAGGGATCTGGCTGTTCTAGGTGTGTCCTCTTCCCATACCTGTCCTAGGAAATGAAGAATTGTGCAGAGATTGGGAAGGTTCTGTATTTTTCGACTACATCTCCCAGAATCCCCCAGCCAGGGTGATCCCTGATGAGATGGACCAAGGGTTTGATTCATTCTAGGGCAGTTTCTGATATTCCTTGAAACGTTAATCTAGATCTATTCTGTAAGTCAGTAACCATAGAAATTACTTGTGATTTTGTTATAAATGGACCACCTAGGACTGATTCTCTCTGGTGATTATTTTTCAAAGACTGCGCATTGTGTCTTCCAAAACGCCTCACCCTTCTACTTTTCTTTTTCTCTCTTTGAAAAAAGGTGCAGAAGCATCCCTCTGTTTTCTTTCTTCTTCTTTTTTTAACAAAACATTTCTGTCTGGTGGGAATGACCTCGGTTGACTGCAGGGGAGCAAACCTCCCCGGAGACTTTGGTCTTATCTCTTGGGAAGGGTGTATCTATCCCATCCCGCTATCTTTGCTGCACAGAAAAGCTCTGTGTTTGTGTTCTCCTTGTTCCTTGGCCAGAGAGCTGCAGGTTCCCTCCTAGGAAGGCGACTTTCTTGCAAAATCTGGAAAGAGTTGCAGGAGTGAGCAGATTGTTTATTTGAACACATTCACCACTGATGCACCTTTGGGGGGGGGGAACCTTGCAGCTTCCTTGGTAAAGTAGGAATAAGTTTCAGGAGTGGTGTACCTTTCTTTATCTTTTAGTCGACAACCAGAATTGTAGTCCAATTTTCCAACCACTACACTACTCTTCTACACAACCTTTAAAGGGACAAGAGCCTTCTCCAACGTTAGCATCTCTGTGTATCAAATAGGCTGAGTCTTGGCGCTGTGCATAAAAATAGGCAAAACACTAAAGCAGAGTCTTGAATTGTGGTGAAAAAGAAGTGAAATTCTGAACTTCCTAGTGGTAGTCCAATGCCCCAACCACTACACCATTCTTCTGCATAAACTTTATAGACTTCCCAATTGTAATCCAGTGCTCCCACCACTGCAGCACTCTTCTATACAACCTTTATGGGCTTCCTAGTGGTAATCCACCAGGGCTATCGAATCCAACCCTCTGCTCAGTGCAAGATCACCAGAAGCAAGTAGCTGTCCAGCCTTTTTATAATAATAATAATAATAATAATAATAATAATAATATATTCATTTATATCCCGCCCCTCTCGTACATCAGTTATGAAGATTTCCAGAGATGTGAGTGGACTGAGTGGAATTATGCCCTGATATACCTTTTGGAGAACTTCACAACTTCCTACCTCAATAGGGAGTAGCTTGCACCACTCAGCATGTGCATTGCTGATGTACTTTTAGGGAAAACCTTGGGACTTCCTTCCAAAAGCTTGAATAAATTGCAGATGTGTGTAAATGGTTCACCTGAATGTACCCACTGGGTTGATGTACCTGTTGTTGTTGTTGTTGTTGTTGTGTGCCTTCACATAGTTTCAGACTTATGGTGACCCTAAGGCAAACCTGTCATGGGTTTTTCTAGGCAAGATTTGTTCAAGATTGCTCTTTCTTCCTTCCAAAGCTGAGAGAGCTCCAAAACACACTGCAGAAACAATCCAGTTTGAGACTGTTTTAACAGCCCCGGCTAATTGCTAGGGAATCCTGGTAATTGTAGTTGATTGTAACACCAGAGCTCTCTAGCAGAGATGGCAAAATGTCTCACAAAACTATAGTTCCAAGAATCCCCTAGCACTGAGCCAGGGCAGTTAAAGCGGTCTCAAACTGGATTTTTTCTGCAGCGTGTTTTGGACCAGAGTGTGACTTACCCAAGATCACCCATTGGGTTTCCATGCCTGCGCAGGGATTCGAACCTTGGTCTCCTAGTCCAACGCTCAAACCATTCCACCACACTGG